TTGTCGTTCTGTACTCAATCACAAAGGACGTGTCAATTGCCAATCTATCATTTAATTTACATTGGGGATTTCCTGCATCAGGAGAAGACTTCCTTGATGGAACTTGTTTAATTTATGCTGGTAGAGAACTTTGGAAGAAATATGATTATGCTTCACAATTTTATCCTAGCATACCTTATATCAGACATTCTGGTGATATTATTAATCATGCGAACCAACGAGGTCCGTAAATGGCTACATTTTGCATGCATAATTATTAACTAAGAGTTGTATATTTATATATTAATTTGTTTTTATTTTATACTTTATATGTTCAGGTAGTCATACAATTACTGTAAAGTTAGATCAACTACCAGCTGAAGTCACCAAACTTTATTTTATCCTCAGCGCATGGAAGTGTCCAAACATTGGTCATTTCAGAGATCCAAGCTTTTTACTATATGATGAGGATTCACCAGATAAAGAGCAATTATGCGATTATGCAATTCAAACCGCTGCAACTTCGCAAGCTGTGATAATGTGCTTTGTTTCAAGGACACCTGATGATACTTGGGAAGTTATCCCTGTTGGTCGTCTGTCTAATGGAAACGCTGAGGATTATACTCCTATTGAAAATTCTATTAGGGAATTAGAAGGAAATATTGGTCAATAGGTTTAGTTTAACGTGCATAAAGTTACTTATTTTTATAAATATATATAGATTTCAATGAATAAATTTTGGTGCATTCCTATGCATCGGATGTTTTTAGCGATTTATCAGCCATGATTTAGTCGTAATAATCATGGAAGAAAAATTTGTGTTCACATAAATTTAGCCAATTATGCTTATAAAATTATATTTTGCGTTATAATAAAAATTCTTCAAAATTTTAGCATAGTCAACTACCTTTTTCGAAATGATTAATTTACAGGAATGGTTTTATAGCAAAGGAGCTAAAATTAACAGATTTTCATGACAGAAATTTATCATTTATCGATACTTTCAATCATGGCGTATCAAAAAAGTGTGTAGCCAATCCTACTATGATCAACCTCGTAGAATTGAACCTACTTGTTTAAATATGAGACGTGTAATAGTATGTGCGATAACACCGAATCAGAAAAGATTAAGAATTTGATGAGAAATTTTGTTTCATTATCTATTTGCAAGCTAAACAATATTGATATAAGAGGATCTATAATAAGTTCTTTGTCATATTAAATATATATAACTGTATTATTTAATCTACCAGCTTAAACTAAACAGTCATCTTGAAAGACATGAAAGAATAACCAGTTTTCCTGGAATCTGCAAACGTAAGCGTCACTAAAATTGACCAGTAATCAACAACAAATTTCAGATATTATCATTTTTATATTAGATCCAGAAGAAGATGTTTCCTTCTAATTATAGAATTTGTGGATGGAAGAAACATTAAAAGCTTTTCATGGCACCGAAGGAGCCAATCACGAATTGCCTGAAAAAACTTATTCTATCTCGGTAAGGAATATCTTTTCTTCATGGCAAAAATATAATTCACAGAGATTTGGTAAATTCATATTATTTAAATATTTACTTTTCGAACTACGAACTTGCTAATACGGTAATATATATTATTTTAAAAAAACAATAAAATAAAAAATAAAATATGGAAGTTTGATAAAAACATTTTAATTCATCAACTAAAAATTAAAATTGCAGATTTTGGAATGTCAAAGAACCTCAATAACGTATTAACTACTTAAACAGACCTTTTTGGAATGTCACCATTCACTGAACCAAAATCAATTAAAAAGCCATCATATAAAAAGAATGAGAAATCTGATGTATTTAAGTACCTTTAAATAATTTCTATCTTTTTATCTTAATTATCATTTTCTAATTATTTTAAGTTTTGGAGTACTTTTATGGAAAATTTTGAGTTGTCGTCCCCTTTGCCAAGATGGATCAATTCGAAATGTTTTTGATGATAGCGAAACTCCAGCTGATGGAACGCCAGTAGCATATATTAATTTATATCAATGTTGTTGGCAAGGGGAACCAGATTTAAGACCAAGAATTATATAAGCCATGTATATATTACAATCTCTTTCTTTAGAGCCTACTTACCAAAGATCGAAAGTGATTATTTAAAAAAATCAAGATACAATTACTTCAATGCTTTCTGCTACGGGCATACAAAACGTCATGGATTCATCTAATAAAAAGTACGAGTGCGAAATTCACATAACAGACAATAATTGGTGCTTTATTGTGAAGCTGAGAATTTTAAACAGAAATTTTCCATTTGAGTGCGGCTAAGGGAAAACTTCGATCTTGTTTTTTTGGTAAACTCACTAAATTCCACAAAACCTTTCAATCATCTCAAATTTAATCGATTTGGGAATATAAAAATGATATCTTTGCGTCGATTCTTGAGGCAGAATGGTTAGATGGTCCAAGAGATTTATGGAATAAAGAATGTGAAAAGGGGGATCTGTTAGGATTGTAATTAAAAAAAGTTCGAAAATTGGTGATATAATATATGAAGTATATTCAGCTTTGTAGTGCATAAATTTCATAGTAAAAATCGGTGGGCATCTACTAGTTACCTTATATAGGGGATTGCTAAAGCAAGATGCGTTAGAATTACTTTTTTGATGCAGTAATGATTAGTGGTTTATATAAACATCAAGAATATAATTTATAGCAAGACAAAAATTTATTTTAATTGGTTGTTTATTTTCATTGAAAAAACAATGTTACACTGTTTACAAAGAAAAATGGATCTGTAAATAGCGAAAAAGAAATTTTCATAATTAGGTTTATCTGAAATTTTGCAAGATTATGATTTAGAAACGTATTTTTCATATGGGGAATGGACTAGGAAAACCAGTCTTTGGCACTTTTTAGTCGATTTTAGGATTTTCAATTCAAATTGAAATATTGGTTCTTATTTATATGAAGCATACTTTTTATTTTATATTAGCTTAATAAGATATTGAGATTTTTAAATTTTGAAAAATCAATTCTTCGAAGACATAGTGCTCTAAAAATAGAATCACAACCAATCAGAAGATAACTTGGCGAATTGAATTAAAACATCAGACCTTGTTCGCAAAATTTGGGATTGAAATTTCGTGTAATGCAAACATTAATCACATTTTTTTAAAAACTCAAACTATCTGTCAAAGGCAGATTTTCCTAGTTCATTCCTCATATAGCGTTTGGGATCGAATGAGATCGAATGTTTCCACCAACTTTAATTAAAGACGATTTTGACCATAGTTGTATTTAATATGAAGTCCTTATACAGTCAACCCTCGTTAATATCAACCTCGTTAATATCAACCTCGTTAATATCAACCTCGTTAATATCAACCTCGTTAATATCAACCTCTCGCTAATATCAACCTAAGCCATAGGACAAATTTCCAAATATTAAAATTCCCTCATATTAATTAATTAATATCGCTATCAACATGGATACAAAAATTTTTATATCCTTAGCCAACAAAAATTAAGAATCGCAAGTCACATGATATATATAAAATAAAATTCTGAAATTCTTTAAGAGTAGACAGTATTATTTTAAAATTACATATAAACTTAATGGCAAATTTTTTTTATATGGGTAATTATTTTTGAACCCGGACCAATTTTAGGGACACTTGAAGAATCATGAACTAATTTATATCACATTTTATATAATCACATTACGTAGTACCAACCAAATTTGCAGGTAGTACAAACCCTAACCATTACTTGACGTTGCACGAATATTATTAATGTGATTATATAAAATGTGATATAAATGGGTTCATGATTCTTCAAACTGCCCCAATTTTATATATGACGTAGTAACATTTTGGTCTGAATTCAAAAATAATTACCCATATTTTTAATTTTATGAAAAATTTATTAAGTAAAATAATTTTAACTATTATGTAAAATTTGTAGAGTAGGTTTTTCTGATTCTAATAATAATAAATTCATTAAAATTAGTTAAAAAAGGATATTATTTACTATGTTTTATAGATGAATTATAGAAGTAATTATAGAAAAATCTGTCAAAGTGTTTGTTGGTGAAAAGATCAGAAACTACGTATAAACCTTATTTTCTCTGCTTATCGTTATCTGTGCATCATATAGTCAAAACAGAATTCCATTGTTTCTTGAATTGGCATCTATAATAAAGTTTTAAGTTCAGTGGCGTATATCGGCATCAATATATATATAAAAATAGTATACTGTACATACAGCAGCATGAATTTCGTTTTAGAAATTGCTATTGCACATATGCTACCCGAATAACTAATTTGTCCGGATAACCCGGATAATCAAATAATACGCAGGTAGAAATTTTCCATTCCTAATCTGCCTTCTTTTTTTTTCGTTTTAAAAACATCGAAAAGATTTTGTTTAATAAACGAGGTGCAACATTGAAACAAAAATGGAAAAAAATGATGGCAATAAAGAACTGCAAATCCTAGACCCTGATAGCAATAAAGAACTGCAAATCCTAGGCCCCGATGCAAATGAAACTAACGAAGCTGATATTGATTACGAAGATAATGAAGATATTGATCTACAATTCTCCATCACCTCTGTTTTTTATATTCATTTACCACAATACTTAGATCCAGGTAATTATCAACCGGTAATTCTTGGAAGTTGCGCAACTTTAGGCAAGTGGAAAGTGCCAAAAGTCTTGCTTCATCAAATTAATAATTCCACTCTCTGGGTATCCGATCCCGTGCGCATTCCTACACATGTGGAGGATATATTCTATAAGTATGCTATTTGTCGTCGCGAAAAAAATTGGTTTCGTAAAGACAAACTGGTAGTCGATTATTTTGAGGGTTTTGGTGGTGAAAGAACCAATCGCAAAATGGAGTTTCTCGAAAACCATTACGACTTATGGCAAGACAATTATAATATGAAACTCAATATGAGGTTCCTTAAAAATGATTTTCAATTTGTCAAAAGTATTTAT